GAAGGAACGTGATTGATGACGGCGCATTCAGCGTTGGATCCGCAAATGCCTGGGCAAGGGTCTGTGCATTTGTTTTTGATACATGATTTATCGGCTGAGCAGTCAGAACTTAGAACACACTCAGGTCGACAACCATCATATGGATTTCCATAATACCCTTCTAAACAAGAACACGCACCAGCATTATCTCTTTGACTGCAAATAGCATTTGCTCCACATGGTGACGGATCACATGGGTTTTCAACAGCGTCTGAAAAAAAATTAAAAAATAATGTAGTGTAATTATAAATTACTAAAATTTCTTTCAGCAACAAGAATGTTAAGTTATTATGTTTATAATCATTTATTTACCATTTTGTGGTATACATTGTAAGAAAGGATTCCCTGTGTACTTTTCTCGACATGTGCATGATACTGTGTGGCTCACTATGATACAATCCGCATCAACTCCACATGAACCCGGACATGGATCAATACATTTATTTCTCACGCAAGCTTGATTTGATGGACAATCTGGATTAATGACACATTCTGGCCTACAGTTTGGAGGCTGGCCAACGTAGTCATCGACGCATTTACAGTCAGCTTTGCCATTTCGTTCCATACATAAAGAGTTTGGCCCACACGGTGAAGGGTTACAAGCATCTACTGGTTTTGGTGGGATCATTTCATCGTAACAACTGTTGAATGGATCTCCAGTTTGTCCTGGGTTACAGCTGCAAATAGGGCTGTGATTGATAACTTCACACCGAGCTGAGATACCGCATGCATTAATACATGGGTTGATACATTTCTGGTTAACACAAGCTTTTGTTGCAGGACACTCAGAGCTCACAACACATTCTGGTCTACAAGCTGGAGAAGATCCTTGGAAACCTTCGATGCAAGCGCATACAGCTGCATTTTCATTTATTCTGCAAATGCTGTTAGGACCGCACGGAGATGGTCGACATGGATTTTCATCATATTCAACAATTACTGTCGGTTGACAGTGAGTAAATGGATTGCCAGTATGACCACTTACACAAGAACAGGTTGGTATATGGTTTATAACGTCGCATTTTGCATTTTGACCACAAACTCCAGGACAAGGATCTCTGCATTTATTTCTGAAGCACGCTTTATCTCTAGGACATTCTTGACTTCCAGTACATTCTGGTCGACATGATTCATATGGATTACCACTATACTCTTGTATACACGTACAGAAGCCATTGTCGCACTGTGCGTTAGGTCCACATGGAGAAGGATTACAAGGATCCGATGGACTAGAGGTTGTTGGTACTGTAATAAAGATAAAATATTATTTTAAACTTAATGGTTTCATACATTCTTAAGGGCGGTTAATAAATCAGTTACAAATAAATACATCCATACATCAATCCATCCATCCATCCATTACAGCCTATAAAAAGTCGACTGCAAAACATTTACCTCCCCTATAGATACCCTCTATATTTGTCACAGTTGCCACGGTTGGCAGATGGGTTGGCAACCGCAATTTATATAATTTTGTGTTATCAGTAAGATGTTGCTGCCCGTCTTCTGTTTAGTTTCCCCCCGTCGCCTCTTACAACACAGACGGAACGATATGGAGCAGTGGATATTCTAACACCGCCACTGCACGGTTAAAAATAGCAAACACATATAGATTCTTAAATAATAAAAAGATTACCTTCAATAACAGGAGTACATCTTGAGAATGGATCACCAGTAAATCCCTCGTTACAAACGCACACTGCTACATGGTTCAAAACGTGACAATTTGCTTCAACGCCGCAAGAACCTGGACAAGGATCTTCACATTTTTGTCGAACACATGCTAAAGAAGCAGGGCACTCAGAGTTAATCGTACATTCAGGACGGCAAGACGGTGGTGAGCCTACATAACCAGGTAAACAAGAGCATGCTGGTCCACTTGCTAGCAACTGACAACGTGAGTGAGGTCCACATGGAGATGGGGTGCAAGAAGGACTTTCAGTTGTTGGTGGAATAGCTGAAATACATATAAAAATTATTATTAAAAAAAATCTTATATTAGCCCTTGAGAAAACAAACTTATCACCGTTGATACTTACGGTAGCAAACAGTGAAAGGATCACCGGTCATCCCCGCTGGACACGTGCAAATGGGGTTATGATTCTTTACTAGACAGTGAGCTTTCAAGCCACAAGTATTTGGACAAGGGTCGTCACATCTCTGATTTATGCATGCTTTAGATGTATCACATTCACTATTCACAACACATTGAGGTCGACATGATGGCGGTGACCCAATATAATTCGGAAGACAAGAGCAAACCGCTTGCATATTGACTTGCCTGCATTGACTGTTAGGACCACAGGGAGTAGGTTCACAAGGGTTTAGTGGTGGAGCTGAAAAAAGTTATGATTATTTTAAGCAATATCTGCCAGTAAAATTTTATAAATTAACAAAAAATTAAAAAAATGCGCTTACGTTCAGTTACTACTCTTAAGCATCGGAAGAATGGATCGCCTGTATGATCAGGTGGACAAGAACAAACAGGAACGTGTTTGTCAACTGTACATTCTGCCAAATGGCCGCATGTTTTAGGGCACGGGTCGATACATTTGAATCTTGTGCAGGCTAAGTTCAAGGGGCAGTCGTCGTTATTTTCACATTCTCGTCGACATCCAGATGGACTGTACGGATCGCCTTCGTAGCCTTGGGAACAGAAACAGGCACCAGCTTCATTGTATTCGCGACATTCAGCGTTGGGGCCACAAGGAGATGGAGTGCAGGGACTTGATTTTTCCGTTACTGTAATTGAGGCAAGGGATTAAAAATTAATATTGGAGTATAATTTTAAAAAATAATCATTATTGCGGTCATACTTACTAGGAATGATAATTTGAACACAGGAACTGGTTGCATCTCCAGTAAATCCTTGTTGACAACTACAGACAGGTTTATGATTCACCGTTAAACAGATGGCATTTACTCCACAAGCTCCCTGGCACGGGTCCTTACAACGTTCATTAATACAAGCCGTATTGCTAGGGCATTCTGCATCAATGGTACACTCTGGTCTACAATTTGGTACCCTTCCTATATAGTTTGGCAAACAAGAACACGCCGCTTGATCGCTTATAACACGACATTCAGAGTTCGGTCCGCATGGTGACGGTGCGCAGGGATTAATATGATCTACTTGTCCTAAAAAAGATTATTTTATGAAATATCATAAATAATAAATGTGATAAATATTTATTCTAGGAATATTGCCTTGCGATTGGTATAAAATTTTGCCATTGTTGTTATATATAACTTAAGTAATGCTTGTTTATGTTTGCAACAAATATTAAAGATTTAAATTACTTACTTTGTTCTTCTATACATTCTGTAAACGGATCACCAGTGTAACCTGTTATACAACTGCAAATAGGATTGTGAGTTATGACTTGGCACCGTGCGTTGAGTCCACAAGTATTCGGGCATGGATCTGTACATTTTTTATTAACGCAGGCCTTATCCTGCGGACATTCGGAGCTAACAATACATTCGGGACGACACGATGGTGGGGTGCCGATATAACCGCTTTCGCATGTGCATACACTATGACCATTAATAGCACGACATAAACTGTTGGGCCCACAAGGTGATGGTTGACATGGATCTGTTTGAGGTATATTTAATTCTGGAATAAGTGAACGTTAATGTTAGTAAAAAAAATTTTGCTTAAAAATATTTGTATATGATTTGAAAAACGTTTGTATAAATTTTGATTAACAAAAACTTCAATTTACTTACTTTCTTCCTCACATCTAATAAGCGGATTGCCGGTATATCCTGTGAGGCAAGTACACGTGGGTGAATGGTTCACAGTTCTACATTCAGCATTGATGCCGCAAGTTCCTGGGCATGGATCTTTGCACTTGTTATTTGTACAAGCCTTATTACGATCGCAGTCAGAATTTGAAACACACTCTGGTCTGCATCCTGTGTATGGGTCTCCAAAATATTCCGGTAGACATGAACACGCACCGACACCGTTTCTTTCTTTGCATACGGCATTAGCACCACAAGGAGAAGGACTACAAGGATTTGGTGGAGGTTCAGATATATCTGTAATATATTTTTAATTAAAATAATCTGTTATATTCCATTTTTCGTTTTATTAGAAAGAAAGAGATAGTAAGTTTGCTCATTCTGTTCCGGGAGAATTGTATAATTTAACAAAAATATTCGACACGTTTTCAATAACTGGGTGTGTGTACGCGCGCGTGCATGCGCGCGGGCGCGTGTGTGTGTGCGCGCGCGCGCGCGTGTGTGTGCGTGTGTGTGTGCGTGTGTGTGTGTGTGTGTGTGTGTGTGCGCGCGTGTGTGTGTGTGTGTGTGTGCGTGTGTATGATGTATGTATCCCCTAATGAATGATGTAATTCCTTAATGCAAAGTTATTGTAAAAAAAATCCAACACAGTATTAATAATAAATTGGCACACACATCTTTTTTATCATAGCACATATCTCGTTCTTTCTTTTATATGTGTATACAATATTAAAACTCACGTTCAATTATAGAGCATCCACTAAATGGATCACCCGTATGTCCAGGTATACAATTACATAAGGCTACATGATTTGCAACAGAACATTCGGCGTTGAAACCGCAAGACCCCGGACATGGATCTACACATTTCTCATTTTGGCATGCAAGATTACCAGGGCATTCAGCATTGATAGAACATTCAGGTCTACAATTGGGTGCAATACCAACATAATTTGGCAAGCATGAGCATGCAGGCGCTTCGTCGACTACTTTACATTGAGAATATGAACCGCACGGTGAAGGTACACAAGGATTTCCTTTAGGTCCCATAAATATAGGTTCTAAGAAAAAAGAAGTACATTAGAAATAAAGTAGAATACAGAGCTAAAAGAGAATAAGAAAAAGAATTTATAGATTGTGATATAAAAATGAAAATCATGCATGAAATAATTTAAAAAAAAAACACACACACAAATTTGTTTTATTTTATTAGATTTTATATCCTTACTTTTCTCTAACTGACAAGTTGCGAACGGATCACCAGTGAATCCCGCCTTACATGTACATATTGGATTATGGTTTATAACTTGGCAGCGTGCATTGACGCCGCAAGTTCCTGGACAAGGGTCCTTGCATTTTTGTTGTATACAAGCTTGATATTGCGGGCAATCCGTGCTAGTGACGCATTCTGGTCTACATGTTGGTGGCGAACCTACATAACCTTCTTGGCATGAGCATACTCCGTGGTTATCTATTATTTTACAGTGACTGTATGGACCGCAAGGTGACGGTACACATGGATTTTCATCTGCTACGGTTGCTAAAATAAAATTAAATAATTCATTTCTACGTAAAAGTAAACTATATATCGCGTATTACTAAACTGAAGAAAAAATACTAACGACTTCTTTGTAGGTGGCATGATATTACAGGATTTCCTTCATAACCGTCGATACAGAAACACATCGGTGTATGATGCGCCACGTTACAGTATGCATTTCTTCCACAAGCTCCTTGACAAGGATCGATACATTTATTGTTCGAGCATGCTCTGTTTAAGGGACAGTCGTTATTTGTGACGCATTCTGGACGACATCCTAAATAGGGATCTCCGAAATATCCAGGTAAGCATGTGCATGAGCCCGCGGAATTATTTTCTTTACATAAAGCATTAGGTCCACAAGGAGATGGATTACAAGGATTCGTCTCATCTTCACTAGTTACTGTGACTGAATAATTAAAGTATTAGTTCTCAATGTTTTGTATCACAATATATACACAATATCGATAAATTATGACTTACCTATAAAATAACAACCATTAAATGGATCACCCGTATAACTTTCCTTACAATGGCAAATAGCTTTATGAGAAATAACGACACATTCGGCATTTGATCCACAAGATCCTTCGCATGGATTCATACACTTTTCACAAATACAAGCAAGGTTACTAGGACATTCCTCGTCATATATACATTCTGGACGACAGTTTGGTGCTCGCCCTATATAACCACTTAAACAGGAGCATGCTGGAGTTTCGCCTACTACGCGACATTGTGAATTTGGTCCGCAAGGCGATGGAATGCAAGGATTACCTGAAGGTTTTGGTTCCGGTCCTAAAATCCATTTGTCACTTTAGTTTGAATCGTTTTTTTTAGGTTTATTATGTTTAGTTTTTAGTATTAGTTTTATAATTTAATTGTAATTTTTAATCATATATACAAATTGCAACAAAACATCAGTTTAGTAGGTGTTATATTCAAATTTAAATATATGTTAAGTGTTTTAGTATTCTGTATAAAAAATTAAACACTCACGTTGATCATATGAACATTGAATAAAGGGGTCACCTATATAATTTTTGGGGCAACTGCAAAGTGCATTGTGATTAACAACTGTACATTTGGCGTTGTTGCCACATGCTCCATTGCAAGGATCTACGCATTTCCGGTTGACACATGCTTTATTTGGCATACAGTCGCTACTGACCATACATTCTGGCCGACATAAAGGTGGAGAACCAAAATAATCTTCTTGGCAAGAGCAAATTGCATAACCGTTGCTTACGCGGCATAAACTGTATGGTCCGCAAGGTGAAGGTGAACAAGGATCAACAGGTTTTTCCACGCCTAAAAATAATGATGTTTTGATAGAGTAATTTATATATTTATATTATTATGTGTAACGAACGTTTATAGCAAAAATTCATACTTAAATAACAAGACGTAAATGGATTTCCTTCGTATCCGGGAAGACAAGCGCAAGAAGGAGCATGATTATTGACTCTACATTCAGCGTTCATTCCGCAGACTCCCGGGCATGGATCTTTGCATTTGTTATTTGTACAAGCCTTATTCTTAGGACAATCAGAATTTAAAACGCATTCTGGTCTACATTCCACATACGGATCTCCATAATATTCGGGTAGGCATACACATGAACCCGCGTCATATCTCTCCTTACATATAGCGTTAGCCCCACAAGGTGATCTCGAACAAGGGCTTTCTTGTTGTGGTTCAATAGCTAAAAGTAAAGGATTTTTAAAGATTTTGTGTCGGAAGCAACAAACTAAAATTTAATAAATTTTGTGACTTACATAATATAGTGGAACATCCCCCAAAAGGATCTCCAGTAAATCCTTGTTCGCAAGTACATATTGGAACATGATTAACAACGTTGCAAGTAGCATGAATACCGCAAGAACCTGGGCATGGATCTCTGCATCTTTCGGATATACAAGCTAAATTACTCGGGCATTCAATGCTTAGAACACATTCAGGTCTACAACTGGGAGGACGTCCCACATAATTAGTTAAACAAGAACAAACTGGTACTCCATTTAGGTCTTTGCATTGTGAATGCGGACCGCAAGGATTCGGTGAACAAGTATCGATAGGGGTCATTTGTTCTGTTAAAAGAAAGTTTAATTTTATCTTGCGTTTTTAAAAAATAATATTCAATTATACATTTTAAAATTATTTGTAACTTACTCTCTTCAAAGTAGCAATGAACAAAAGGATCCCCAGTGTATCCTCTGTGACAAGAACATATTGGATTGTGATTCACGACTTGACACTGTGCATTAACTCCACACATACCCTCACAGGGATCTTGGCATTTTTGATTTATACATGCTTTATTTGATCGACAATCAGAACTAACGATACATTCAGGTCGACAATTAGGCGGTGAGCCAACGCATATATCGAGGCATGTGCAAACGGCATGCCCGTTAAACGTACGACATTTACTATAAGGTCCGCAAGGTGTGGGGTGACACGGATCAATTGGTTCCGAAGGAGCTGAAGTAAATATGATAGATAATATAAGGAAAACATAAGAAATATGAAATAATAGAAAGATAATAAGAAAGAAAAAGAAAGAAAATTCTTACTTATAATAGAAGTGCATGCATGAAGAGGGTTTCCATTGTATCCAGGTAAGCAGTAACAAGAAGGTGCATGATTGGAAACTCTACACACAGCATTCTGTCCACATGTCCCAGGGCATGGATCTACACACTTGTTATTGAAACAAGATTTGTCTACAGCGCAGTCAGTGTTCATGACACACTCTGGGCGACAGCCTAAATATGGATCTCCATGAAAATCATCTATACAAGTACATGAACCGACACCATTATTTTCTCGACAAATGGCATTAGGTCCACAAGGTGACGGGTTGCAAGGATGGCGAGGTACTTCTTTTGCGACTGAAAGCGTATTTATACAATTTATTTTATTACTAATCTCACCACAACACTGATAGCATGCAATGTGCACTAAAACTATGATATCATGCCAACTTTGCGTAAAAATGCAATTGCACTTACTTTCGATTTGATTGCAGCCAGCAAATGGATCTCCTGAGTAACCTTCGTCGCAGGAACAAATTGGTTGATGATTTTGTACACTGCAACGAGCGTTGAAACCACACGAACCCATGCAAGGATTGACACAGGTACCACCGAAGCAGGCAAGAGCGAGAGGGCAATCTTGATTAATAACACATTGCGGCCGACAAGTTGGTGGAGCGCCCAACGTGCCAGGCTCACATGCGCACACCGCGCGGCCGAGTTCGTTGCGACATGTCGAATGTGGTCCACACGGTGAAGATAAACACGGATCAGGAGCGACGACTGTAATATCTGTTTTAAGATAAGTAATTGTTTCGTATTAAAAGAAATATAATCAACTTGCTAAACAATTTTGTGAGGTTTTGTTACTTTTGATTGCTGTGGTTATATAAAGGTTGTAAAATGAATGAATCGGTTCATCGGGATGGGCTACGCTCTTACAGAATACCAACGTAAAATGGCAACTTAATGCTGCTGTGTTTCGTATGGAAAGTGATTAGAATCGAAGACCCTTTTTACTGGAGCGAGGCATTCCATTTTATTCCTGAAGAGTGCCAACGCATCTGAATTTTGATTCCTAATCGAGGATAGATATAGGTGTCTATGGGCTCCAGCATTCACATATTATCAGGTGGACTGCGCGCTTGTTTGTAATACTTAGTCTGTAAAATTTGAAAACGAAAATCTTCGAACACATGCTAATAGTTGCTGCAAGGCAAATGAGAAACGAACCTTGGACTAGATACTCACTAAAGTTATAATTTTTCATCACTTAGCCACGCAGCTGTCTGTAAATTTTATAGATTGTACACGTTTAACTAAATAGCAATTTAAAAAAAACAACTGTTATTTAATTAATCTTTTGTTGAGATGTTTTGGATGTAACTTTGATTTTTCGGGATGAAACTTTTATGTTATAACATATGTTTATCCAACATGGGTTCCATGTTACTAGGGATAAGTTACTACGAGAAAATTAATTGCAAATCACACGATGGTATTCTGCATACACGCGTGCGGTCCACAGGCATAAGTAACGTAGAATTTACGATAAGGCATAAAATCACTTAACGGTCAACTTTAAATATTGTGACAATTCTTACTCTTTCTGTAGCATCTGATGAAAGGATCGCCTTCTGGGACATGCTCTGGGCATGTGCATATCGGATTATGTCCAACCACGTGACATCGTGCATCTAGCCCGCAACTGTGAATGCAAGGATCTTGACACTTGTGATTTATACAAGCTCTGTTCGTCGGACATTCCGAGCTCACGGCACATTCAGGGCGACAAGCAGGTGGAGTGCCAAGGAATCCTGCACGACATGAGCATGCAGCGCGTTCACCAACAACGTGACATTCACTATTTGGACCGCATGGTGATGGTTCACATGGATTCATCGGTATTGCTGCAATAAAAAAAATTACATTAAATTTTTCCAACTGTATCATATGTAGGCGGCGTAACTCCATTCATCGTTCATCAAGCCATTTTGTGCCATAGGTGTCATGAGAGCCGGTACTATGAGAAAATGCCAGAAATATCTAGACGGTAGAGCTATCATATTTACGCTTTACGTAAAATACGCCGCTGCGATCGTTATACGCCCAGCAAGTGGCTTTAATAACATAATATCATTCCTCTTACAGAAGAGGCTCATGTTCAGCATCACGGACTTTTACGGATTGGTAAAGGAAATGAAAATTCAAAATATATTTCGAATTATGTGGACATTACTGTAATATAAGTAAACAGAAATAAAATTTATTTGACTGGCTCATTTGTCTAGTGGTTGTAAATGCGATTAGTACTGATTATGAGTCCGAATAGACTCTGAGGTTGTTAGTTTTTCTGTCAATAAATTCTCAGTAGCAGCCTGGAATAAGGAAGTTGACGGTGTTTGAACCACGTGCCTTGGAAAGCACGATAGACGTCTCTCCTGCACCTAATCTCTCTCCGATCGTGTAAGATTACCGTCCCATCGGACAACGAGAGTGAAGGAATAGAGTGCACTTGTGCATACAGTCGGGCACTATAATCCTTTCCTGCGCAGGTGTCTAGTCTCCGATTATACATCCTTTATTGCGGATACAGTCAATTTTAAATGGGTTTCTTTATTTAACATACAATAATATATTTCACAAAAAATATCGAAAATTAAGACTTACGTGATTTAGTAATCTGGCGACACGATGAGAACGGATCACCTTCATATCCTTTGAAACAAGAACATACTGGAACGTGATTGGTGACACTACATTCTGTGTTTATACCGCATAAGTCTTTACAAGGATCTCGACAGTGATTTGATAAACATGCAAGGTTGTTAGGGCAATCTGAATTTGAAGTACATTCAGGTCGGCAGCCACCAGCATAAGGGTTTCCAATATTCGGTGGTATGCATGAGCATCGAGCAGCATTACCCACGATTGTACATAACGTATTTTCTCCACAAGGTGAAGGATTACATGGTGTAGCATCGTCTGCCGATATTGCCATGCATCCTATAAACGCGTCGCCTTTAAAGCCCTCTAAGCAACTACACAAAGGTGTATGGTTTACAACATTGCATTTAGCGTTACTTCCACAGGCGTTATTACATGGATCAACACATTTTTCATTGATACAAGCTTGGTTTGAAGGGCATTCTTGACTTATTATACATTCTGGTCTACAGTATGGCGGAGTACCAGAATAGTTTGGACGGCATGAACAGACTGGATGGTTAGATCTTACTTCACAAACAGAATTTGGTCCACACGGTGAAGGCAAACATGGGTTATCCCCTGTTGGTGTTTTTGTGGGAGTTTTACTTTCAACAGTCTCGCCGCATGCAACGAATGGGTCGCCAGTTTTTCCTGGGTCACAACTACATAACGGATTATGGTTTACTACAAAACACGTAGCACCTACTCCACAACTACCTTGACATGGATTTATACATTTCTGATTAACGCAAGTCAATTCTTGGGAGCAATCTGAATTACCTACACATTCAGGTTGACACATAGGAGGCATTCCAACATGTCCAGGCAAACATGAGCATACTGCAAATCCAGATGGTGAGACTAGGCAGCGGCTATATGCTCCACAAGGTGAAGGATCACATACAGATAATGCTGGTTGAGTAGACATTATATTTTGACATCTTACGTATGGATCTCCAGTTTGGCCAGGCGAGCAATAACATACAGCATGGTGGTTAATAGTTTCACATAACGCTCCAATACCACAAACATCATTGCAAGGGGATTTACATTTGTTATTAAAACATGCTTCATTGGTCGGACAGTCACTGTTAATAGCACACTCTGGTCGGCATGAAAGATATGGATTTCCGAAAAAGTCTGGCAAACATTGACAAGTAAGTAAGCCATGCGAATCTTGACATATGGCGTTATCACCACATCGTATATTATCACATGTTTCATATATTGTTGCTGTAAAAGAATTAAAATTTAGTTAACATTTATAAGTAGTTCCTTGAACATTAATCATTTGTATTAAACATATACATACGGCTAGTGGTAGGCTTGCAATGTTCGTAGGGATTTCCTTCAAATCCTTCTTTACATCGGCAAATTGGATCGTGGTGGTATACTAAGCAATCTGCATTGACACCGCAAGATCCAGGACAAGGGTCAATGCATTTATTTCTCAAACAAGCCTTATTAAATTCACAGTCTGAACTAAGAACGCACTCAGGTCTACACGCTGGATTATTTATATCCTGAGATCCGACACAAGACACACAGATTGCAATCTGGTCACCATAAGCATCACACTGATCATTAGAGTTGCACGGATTTGGTGTACATGGTTGAATTGTCGTATTATCGGGTGTAATTACAATTGCTGAAATGTAACAATTTAGTTTAAATTTTATTGTGAAAATGTATAGTTTTAGAAGAGACTACGTACTAAGGGGTAAGACTCATTTTCTGCCTAGAAGTCCGTCTAAGTAGATACCACCCTCTTACAAATTTTTGCTAGTAAAAGGCAGTGTCTATACTGCTGCTTTCTGTCTAAATAGTAAAGAAAGCCTGTGTAATGTCAGGTTGTGTGGTATTCCATTTTAGTCCCCATAGTTGATAACGCATTTGTTCTTCAAACAAATAATGTTTAAAGTTAGCTGTAGGTGTTAATGAACTACAGTTGCCATTTACCATCAAGTGGACTGTAATTTTGTATTTCACTGCATTTTTATATTATAAAATGGGCATATTTCTAGGTAAACACGTTATTTAATATTTCAGTACTCACGTCGGTACACGCATTGAATTTTTGGATCCCCAATGTATCCGTCTGGACATATACAAGATACTGTGTGATCTGTACAAACACAAGTTGCATTCATTCCGCAAACATTTTTGAAAGAACATGGATCGACACATTTTTGATTAATGCACGCTTCATTGGATGAACAATCCGAATTCATTAAGCATTCTGCTTTGCATTCAACAGTCGGATCGCCAACTAAACCGGTTGGACATGAACATAAAGCTTTTTCTCCTAAATTTTGACAGATTGCATTTAAGCCGCATTGAATTCGGTCACAAGGCCGGAAGGATTTCTGATCTTCAGGTGGCAAACAGCATACAAATGGATTACCAATTAATCCTTCTTCACAAATACAAACAGGTCGGTGTGATTCTACATGGCATTTAGCATTCAGGCCACATACTCCGGGACATGGATCACGACACGAAAAGCCGATGCAAGCTTTGTTTGCCTCGCATTCATCATCAACTTCACACTCAAGTGAAATACAGCCATCTAATCCATATGGATCTCCTGTGCTACCTGCAGCACAAGTACATATAACTTGACCATCATAATTGACATTGCAAATTCCTCGAGGTCCACAAGGATTTGGTATACATTGACTTCTTTCATGTTCACATCCCATATAAGGGTCTCCACTAAAACCAGTTTTACAGAAACACATTTCTCTATTGTTGCTCACATAACAATCTGCGTTTTGTCCACAGGGGCCAGGCTGACAAAGAACATTTGACTGAATGTAAGGATTACATGATTTATAAGGATTTCCAACTGTATTTTCAGGGCAATAACAAGCAGGAATTCTATTGGGGTCACAACGCGCACCATCGCCGCAGGTGTTTGGTTCGCACGGATTACGTGCTTCTATGCAACCTCTGACTGTATTCGGGCTTTCGACATAACCTTGCAAACAAGTACATTTAGAGAATCCGTTTGGTAAAACTGTACATTGCGTATTAGGCCCACATGGCGACGGATTACAAGGATTTTGTGGAAGCTTGCAGGGTTGTCTTGGTGGATTGCCCTCGTAATTTGGTAAACAGAAACATGCCGGTTTATTGTCTATTATTCGACATCCAGTGTTCGGTCCACAGGGATTCGGTTCACATTCATTTCCTTCTGGAACTACAAATAAAAATTGTTTTTGTCATTATAGTACCTATATAATAATTTTAATTTTACCAAAATTATAGAGATAAATACTTACTGCAATTCTTGAACGGGTTACCCGTTAATCCTTTAGGACAGAAACATATAGGATTCCCATTGTCAATTTCACATAATGCATTTAGTCCGCAAGGATTAGGTACACAAGGATTGATAGGTGGTTCGCAACCTATAACTGGGTTACCGGTATATCCGGGTAAACATTTACAGGAGGCACGGTGATTTAAAACGTCACATACAGCATTTATACCACATTTACAGGGCGAACCACAGTTTCCATTGATACATGCTTCAGAGTTTAAGCATTCATTGTCGGAACGACATCCCTGTACTGTAATCAAAATGAAGTATTTAGTATGTTATTGTAAATGTAAAGAAATAAAACTTCACTTTAGTTTTTTATTGAACTTACTTTTATAACATTCTAAGTAGGCGTTCCCTGTAAAGCCAGCAGCACATTTGCATTGAACGCTATGATTTTCTGGGATACATTCAGCATTGTCTCCACATTTATTGATAGCACACGGGTTAATACAAACTCTGTTCAATCTGTCACAAAGTAAGTCTGGAGGGCAATCTTCATTGTACTGGCATACTGATTGTGTGGGATGCCGAACTAATGAACAAATTATATAATTAAACATTGATTTAAGGTATTTAAAACCGGGATAAATGTTTGCAATATCTTACCTGGAACACACCCAACGTATCCATTTCCTTGAAATCCTTCTGCACAGCTACAGTCTGAGCCATGGTTTGTGTTTATACATACAGCATTAGGTGCACATGGATTATGAATAGCACATGGGTGTTGACATGCGTTATTTATACAAGCCTCAGTCACAGAACAGTCTTCATTTCGAACGCAACCAGCTGTGTGAAATAAATAAAGAATATCTTACAGTAAAATGGATGAGGTGGTGAGTCAGGAAGTGTAAATTTATTTGCAAATAAAAGATATAGAAAAAAAAAAAACATTAATTATTAATTTTGAAATCATTTCATAATTTAATTTAACCAGATAATTAAGCTCTTGTTAAACGTTATGATGAGGCATCAAATTGTATTCCGATATTTAACTTACGAACTAGATATCTAATTAATTAGCTGATTAAGCATTTGGGCTGCGACGTACACAAAAACAACTATTTTAAGACCCAGAATACATTTTGACAGTGGTTTTCTTTTTCATTTTTTTATGTTTTTCGGGTCGAATTTCGATTATGGCAAGTGCCTCATGTGTATGTGCAAACATAAAGGCACGAAGTTAAGAATGTCACCGACTAGGTTTTCAAGAATATTTCGGAAGAATTATAATATGGATATACATATACATTCTGCATTCTAGTGACCTCGGGTTAACAGAAGATGTTTTTGCTGATAGATTTAGCAATACCAAAATACTATAATGTTTAATATGAATCTTCTAGAGTCGATAGATGTATTCATATTGTTTGTAGTTACTTATCTAGTTCAAGCGAATAAATTTTTTAAATATTTTTGATTTTATTATTGCAGTTTAATATTAGAAAAAAAATTTAATTAATATTATTTTACGAGCGTGTAAAATAATATTAATTTAAGAATTTATTATTATTACAAGCCATTACCGCGGCTTCGCTCCCGTAATTTTTAGTTACAAAAGTTAGACAGGTGAGTACTTTTTCTGTCTATGAATCTGTCTGGGTTGATATATCATTCTTATCTATTTCTGCCGCCAAGCAGAAGATTATTTGATGATGTTTCAATTTTAAGAGAAAGAGAACCAGGAATAATTAAAAGAGGCACTCCGTCATAACCTCGTTGCATATAGAATTTTGGGCGTCTATTCAATTGTGTGAATTGAATAGACGTCTAACTTTTATTTCAAACTAGAGAGGTGCACCGGCTTCGCACGTGTGATTTCTAGATCTCGACAACAGCGACACCTACCGGGTCGAAATTTGAATCTAAACCATCAAGAAACATACTCAAACACACAAAAAATTTCATCAAAATCGGTCGAGCTACTTTCGCGTATTGCGAGACTAATACACTATGCTCTAAAAAATTTGAACAATCATTTAATATCACCAACTGTTTAATATTACTTATATCAGGAATTATGTACAAAACAAAAAACCTACTCTTAAAACTATAAATATAGCTTTATTCCGTAAATTGAAATTGTCTGCGTGTCCAAGAAATAAAACATTAATTTATAAATATCATCAACAAATATTACACCAGCGCAGTGAAATCTTCATGTTGTGTGTATATTACCCTCCCAATAACAAGCAGTGGAAATTTAAAGT